TGGTATCAGTGGAAAAAATGCTGTTTTTTATAGAACAGATGAAGATTATGAAGTAACGTGTACCAGTCTCATATTTGTCTTCACTGTTTTTGATGTATTAGTCTGTCCTTATTCTGCCTGTCTGTGAATTCCTACAAAACTCCTGCATAACTACCCACACAGAGATACTTGTCCCAGAAGCATGAGTAATCAGGCTAGGTACTCAGGTACCATAGTAATAAGCAAGGCATAAATGCCTAAATAGGAGGATGGATGAAGGAGGGAAAAGAGAAGGCAGGGCAGAGATGCACCTTGCAGACTAACTAAATTAGAGATGCATAAACTTTTGTAAGCCCAATTTCACTTCATCAGAAGCAGTGCAGAGCATCTGTATATATGTATATGCATCTGATGAAGTGATCCTGGGCCAACAGAAGCTTATGCAGCTTTGACTTAATTAGCTTATAAGGTGCAGCTCTACCCTGCCTTCTGCCTGACTTCAGACTACCTAACTACCTCTACTAACTACCTAACTACCATAGCTAACTACCTCTGTCTGCTCCAGGAGGATAGATAGCCATCCCAGGATTTTCACGTGCATCTGGGTAGCCTCTGTTCAGCACACACAGGACTTTTCCACTCCCTTTTTTGCATTAAGTGGGGCCAGGGAAATTTTCCTCAACCTTTTAGACTCAAGACACCCCTTGTTAGATTCAAGGCTAGCTCTTAGCTTTCAATTGTAGACACTATGGATTCCTATTTGAAATCTCTGGGTTTATCTTGTGAATCGTGCAGATGGTTGCACACCTGACAGTGCTAATATTGTGCAGCACCCTACATCCCTCTTAAAGGTATCTCATGGCACCCTGATCAAGAATGGCTGGGCTAGTTCTTGGGTACTTTAAATGTATGACAGCATGTGTGTAGATATATTCTGTTGAGTACTGAGTGACCTGCCCTGTGTGGCTTTGCCATAGCTGCTTCTGTCTTCAGGCTGACACTAGTGTATATCTCTTGCTTGGCAGACTCCCTGTCTGTCTTTTGCAGGCTGCCTGCTGTGGAGCTGGGAATTGTTTCTGCAGCTGTTTACATCTCTTTGACCTCCCTGTCAGATACTGACATCTGCTCCATAGTGGTTGAAGCCTGGATACCTAGTGTTTGTGTCTTTTTCCCAGTGGGTTGCTACCAGCTGTCATTTGGGGTGGGGGGGGGGGCACTCTTGTGACCTTTCTCACTCTTCTTTCTATCTGTATGGTCATTTTAATGGACTGTGCTTCTATGAGAAGTGTGACAGTAGTCCATATTAGGAAGTGCAGGCTGAATTTGAAAAAGATACATCCAGCATGATCACTGAGTAAACTGCAGTAAAGGTCTGGGTCTGCCGTGTAAGGTCTTGGCATTTGCTTCTAAACTAGAAACACCGTAGGCATGGTGCTGTCTCACGGCTTCCACCTTTAGCTGTCGGTGCTCAGCATGCATTACTGCGGTCAGGGTGCACTCAGTCTTCCATGTGTATTTTAGGACAGGTTTTGTGTTTAAGGATTTCAGAATGATTGCTTCGAGTTTTCCCTTTGAAGTGCACAGGACACGTGTCTTAAAATTCTTTTCAAGATTCCTTTACAAAAAATTTTGTAGAAGGATTTTAGTTTTTAAAATCAGTGTTGTTGCAGAACTTGAATGTCAGCAAGGAAAATACACCAGTATTTCCCTATCCAAGAGTAGCAGAAGTCTGAAACCTCTTACAGGTGGGGCATGCATGTGCTGCACAATTCGAAAGAGCAACAAAATACAAGATGGGATTGAACTGATACCTAGTTTGTATATGGGGAACTGATGTCTATACAATGGAGGATATCGATAATAAGAGGACAATACTCAATACTTGTGTAGGGAATTTCCCCTTACATTTCAAAGCACTTTACAAAAGTGTGTAGCCCCTGAGTTGATGGAAGTCCCTAAAGAGAAGTCATCCCGCAATGTTGCCCTCAATCGTACTTCTATTTTATGTTTTTATTTCCCTGTTAACCAAGTGTGTTTTTATTCTACTTCAGTGGTTGGAGAACATAAGATGCTTGAGTCTGCTCTTTCAGTTAATGGACTTTTAGTTTAATTTGTAGGGATTAAATGATTTGAGATTTTTTTTGTCCTAGATTCTTTCCCCATGGGTGACCCATCTGGCCCTACAGACTACCCAACCTGCTGGGTCATTGCATTTACTAGCAAGTGTTTGAGAGCAAGATTGCTCACTTTTGGAGCCTGCTTTTGTTACATCTGACAACTAGTTAACAGCCCTAGGACGAGGCAAATACAACAGATGGAGTGCTGTAGACAGTAGTGTTCCTGAGAGAGAATTTACATATGGTACAAAATTAACTTGCTACGTTGAGAAGTAGGGTAGCTCCAGTTGAGATAGTTAAAGAAACTGGCATCTCCTACTACTGGAGTAATAATGGAAGGTAATGTAGGAAGTGAGTATCAAGAACTGAAAAAAGAGTAACTGTAACATCTGCCACCCTTTATCTGCATCTTATCCTCCCTGTAGCAGGCTCATGCTTGCTGTGACATCGCTAGTCTGTCCTGCCTGTTTAGTTACGCCACACTGAGGTCTACTTGTCTGCTACGACTTGGTGTTGTAGGAGGTTTTACCTGGGAGTGTTGTTTAGTGGTTTCCCCCAGACCCTGGGCAACTCAGTTGGCACTTCTTCTGTAGGGCTTCTTTTCCCCTATACCCCACACCTTTCCTCTTGGGTGCTACGGATCAGCCTCAATGATGTCTGGATGAGCTAAGGGTGTCGTTGCTCCCACATAGAGCCTGCTCTTATGGCTATCTGCAGGAATATGGCTATGGCTTTGCTATTTAACAAAATGGTAAATGAACAAAACTATAACTAAAGCAGTTTGAATGGTGCAGTGGGCAGGGCAATGATGCCTGCCGCATCCAACACTTCACCTCAGCACTTAGGGCTCCTTGAGAAGTGGTGTGCTCAGTTCCCATGGGGTTCCATGTTGTGGGTATACCCAGGTTGAACTGGTACCTCAGGCTAGTAAGTGCTTGGTCATGTGTTGTAATGTCCTGTGAAGCATTTCCTCATACCCATGTTATACTCGTGGTTTTGGTACTTCCCCACTGGGAGGTTTTGGGTCCATGGCTGCTCAAGCATGGCACATGGGACTGATGGATTCCTGAACAGGTTCTTCCCTCCAGCGGGTCCCGGCAATGCCCATTGGGCTGTGCTCCTTCAATCCCAGCTGACCTGTGTGTCCCTGCTGGCAACATGGAGGGTAGGCAAGGGCAGGGTTGCACCTAGGCTCCTTAACCTGTCTGGTGCTGCTCCTGTACTGTCAGCTGGATTTTTCCTGTCCCAGAAAGAGTCTCCAGCTTCCAGGCAGCAGGTGAGTGTGCACGCTGGCACCCTCTGGGTGCCCCAGCCATGGGATGGGCTCTCACAGCCTTACTTGGTGCCAGTCGTTCATAGGGACCCACAACCTCTGTTCTGGATGCAGGGAGAGAATCCACTGGCAGCGCTGGTGCTCCTTCCTCTCTCCCTCATGGTTCAACTCCAGGGCTCTTTTTACACCTGGAGCCTCTCCGCATTGGACCAATCCGTGGGACTTTCTTTGGCTTTGTAAGTCTTCAGATGCAGATGGAGCCTTCATAAATAAGGCACTAAAGGATGCTGTGGGATTTAAGAGACATTATGTTGTGGAAAGGATAGAGTTCCAAAAAAGATTTTGATACCATTTAAAAATACAAAACACCTTGAAAGGGAAAAAGGAGAGACGTAGAAGCAGTGTTCAGGGGCTCTGAGAAGAGTGTGATACTTTCAGCTTAAGCAAAACTGTGGCAATCTGTATAACAGAGTGCAGAAACACAAGAAGAGATGAAGAGATACAAAGGCAATGCTGGAAACCTAATGAAAATTGTTCTCTCCTCCCAGCCTAGCATCCCTATATCTCCAGTCTTCCTCAAACATCCCTTGTGTGTTGGTGTAACGGGGGTCCCTACCCCATTATTAGAGGGGTGAGGGTGCTTGGGTTTCCCCCACCACCCTTTTCTCTTTCACTTCCTGCTTTGCCCTCTTGGGGTTTCCCTTCCTGCCTTAGGTGTGTTCAGCCCTCTTGCTCTCACTTTCTCTCCTTAGACAGTCCCTACATTATTTGGTCATGGTTACTCATGTTTCTGGGTGCTACTGCAGCCCACTAGCAGGTTGAGGAATTTTTTAAACAAGATGGCCACTGGGTGTAGGTGCAGTCAGCCCCTGAAGACCCCAGGGTGGAAATGGAAGAGTCAAGTGACCTGCATCACCCTTTATAAACTAAAGCCATAGGCCAGAAAGGCAGCCTGGCTATAAGGGTCCCAGAGAAAGTTGCTCCCTCCAGAGAGGCAGAGGAACAGAGGTCAGAGCTGGGGAGAAAGGGTTCTAGATGGCAGCCAGGCAGAGAAGACAAGAAACTTCATGTTGGGAACAAGATAAGTTCTGGAATTGGTTTGTGTTTTTTGGTTTTGGCTGGGGTTTGAGACAAACATGAAGTCAGTCATTTTGGATTTTGACTCAAGTCAAAGCCCAGGAATATGGGTGATCCTCAACCCCAGTGGCCTGATCTGTGACCGTAGGGAGGCGGAGGCCATGGGAAAGGGTACCCCAAACCTCAAATGTTGAGTGTGAAGGTAGAATATAGAGACTGGAAGAGCTGGTGGCAGGACATGTGGTGGCAGGCCCTCAAGACTGCGATATGCACACTGCACCTAAAGCTTGTGGCCCTGAATAGTAGGCTCTGAGCTGGTAGGCACAAGTAGAGAAAAATTAGGCTGAGGGCAGATGGGCTCTCGTCCACAGACAGACCACAATGTCTAAGAGTCTCCTCACCCAAGGGAAGCCTTTCCCTGTGCATTTGTTCCATCAGTTGTGGCAGATCACAGTACAGACTGGAGAGGGGGGAGGACAAGAAAGTGGAGGGCAGAGCCAGAGGGAATGAGTTGGCTAGCAGGAAGAGATCTCCAAAAGGCAGGTACACTGTGCTACCACCCCGGGCAGTGAACAGTTGGTCATTTAAAACCCCTTCAAATCAGCACTTTTCACAAGCACTTTTCCATGTGCCCAGAAGTTTGGAACTTTTAAACCCAGCATGCCTATGGGAATAGATTATAGCCCTGTGCATTTGTGACCCAGTATCCTACACAGGCTTGACTCCAGACTCAATAATTATTTCACTACCTCTTCTTTGAGATGAAAGGTTATAGAGTCATAAAGAAGTAGGGCTGGAAGGGACTTCCAGAGGTCATCTAGCTCAACGCCCTGCCTGAGGCAGGGTCATTCCTGTCCAAACCATGCTATACAGCCATAATCTAAATTCTACAGAAGACATCCCTCAACCCTGGCACAATATAAACCTGACACCCTCACCTGCCATAGGGAAAGCAGGGGAATCACAGCAGCCAATGTCCTGCTTCTATAAAATGTTGTCAGTATGCACACCAGTGGTCCTGGGTAGAAGGCCACACACCTCCTACTGAGGAACGCAAAACCCCCCACAGTCTCTACCAATTTGACCAGGGTAAAATTCCTTCCTGACCCCATATATGGCAATCAGTCTGACCCTAAGCAGAGGGGCAAGACCCTCTAGCCATGAACCTCCAGCTTTGCTCCCAGCAGGAGAACCATCACACCCCAGATGAAGTCCTCAGCCTTAGCTGTAGCCATACCCAATGCCTCTGGGGAGGCTTAAAAAGCACCCTGACAAAAAAAAGTGGAGACCGGGGGCAATAAGAGCCCAGAAGCATGGGAAATACCCATGGTAGAAAATAGGCATAGCTACACTTAGATCATCCATGAGCAGTGCTATCTAACCTCTTCTTGAACACCTCCAGTAATGGAGAGTCCACAACTTCCCTAGGCAGTCTGTTCCACAGCCTCACTGATCTAAGTGAAGAAGTTTTTCTAGATATCCAATCTAAATTGACTTTGCTGCAACTTCAAGCCATTGGTCCGCATCCTCCTCTCTGCCGAAAGAGATAAAAGGTGCTTTCCCTCTTCTTTATGGCACCCCTTCAAGTATTTGAAGATTGCTATCATGTCCCTTCTTAAACACCTTTTGTGCAAGCAGAACATGCGTAGCTCTGTCAGCCTCTTCTCACGGGACTTGCCCTCCAAGCCCTTGATCATCTTTGTTTGCCAACCTCTGGACCCTCTCTAGCTCCTCCATGTCCATTTTAAAATGTGGGGCCCAGAACAGCATATAGTACTTCAGATGAGGCCTAACCAGTGCTGGGTAGAGGCACTATCACCTCCTGTTTCTTGCACCTAATGCTCTTATTAATACAGCCCCAAACCGCCTTTTGTCTGACTGCATCACACGCAGATTCATATTAAGTCTGTGGTCTACCAAGGCTCACAAGTCCTTTTCCACAGAGCTGCCATCCTGTCAGATGTCCCTCATTTTGTATTTGTGTTTTTGATTATTCTTCCCAAGGTGTAGCACCTTGCATTTGTCCACATTGAACTTCATCCTGTTAGCTCTAGCCCAACTTTCCAATCTGTCAAGATCCATCTGAATTGCACTCACATCCTCCAATACGTTCACAATCCTTCCCAGTTTTGTGTTGTCCACAAACTTGCTCGAGAGCCTTTCTATATCAGCAACCAAATTGTTAATAAACATGTTGAACAACACCGGGCCCAGGACAGACCCCTATGGGACTCCACTCCAAACCACCTGACATTTTGACACGGACCCATTAATAATTACACTTTCCTTGTGGCTATTGAGCCAGTTACCTATCCACCTTGCAGTAGTTTTATCCAGCCCACATTTCTTCAATTTCTTTATGAGAAGGTCATATGGGACCTTGTCAAAAGCCATGCCGAAGTCCAGATACACTATATCCACAGTCTTCCCTTCATCCACTCAAGCCGTTACTTCATCAAAGAAGGAGATCAGGTTTGTTAGACATGTTTTGTGTGTCATAACTCCAGGCTGGCTGCTTGCAATCAGCCCTTCCTCCTCCAGATGCTTGCTAGCCTTCCTTAGGATATGCTTCCCAGGTATTGAGGTGACACTAACTACTCTGTAGTTCCCTGGGTCCTCCTTCTTGACTGTTTTAAAGAGGGGTACTATGCTGGCCCTCTTCCAATCCCTCTAATACCCACCCCATCTTCCACAGCTTCATGAAGATCATGGCCAAGGGCTCCAAGATCTTGGCTGCCAGTTCTTTCAGGACCCTGGAATGAAGCTCATCCGGCCTAGCTGACTTGAATTCATTCAGACCCAACAAAAGCTCTCTGACTGTCTCTTTTGTTATCTCCCTCAATTTGCCCCATTCCTAATCCATCTAATCCCTATTAGGTGTCTGGCAGTTTAATTTTTTTGGCTGTTTCCCCACTTTGGATGGTTTGTCATACAATTCCAAGAGAACAAGATAAATTGAGGTATGTAGTCCATTTTTTAAAAAAAATAGAGAAAAGATCAGAATCAAAACGAGAAATAGTGTGTGCAGGACACGTGCTAGAGCTGGTTTAGTGAAAAGACAGTGTTTCAGTCAAATAGTAATTTCACTGAAAAATGCTTTGTCATCAAATTGGACAATTTTTTATAGTTTTTTTTTTTGAGTGAACACATGGAAACACAAAATTTCCACTAAAATGTTTGTCTATGGTAAAAAAAAAAAAAGAATTAAAAAATTGTTACTGAAAATGAATTTTTAAAACTGATAAATGTTTATTATTTTTGTAATTGAAAATACCCAGAAAAAATCAGGATACATAACAAAAATTAAAAAAAAAAAATTCCTCTAAATTTCCTTTGAAAAATAATTGGTATTTTTTCAGTCAGTTCTAATATCTAGTGCAAAGGTCCGCAAAAGCTCCTGTACGTGAATTGGGTTAAGTGCATTTCCAGAGAGCCTTGCTTCATTCCCTGCCTCATCTGTTTGACCAGCAGGTGTACGAGGTTTAGGTTCTGACTTACAGGTAGGATTTAGTTCCCTCTGGTATCAAGTGTTTCAAGTCATCTTCTTTCCTCACCTGACTCACAGAACTGTTACACTTTTCAGGTTTCTTTGCTGTGCTTGGCTAGTTGTAACACCAGATGCCATGTCTCTCCAACAGAAGAATCTTTGCAGAGAGAGAGAGGGCTTACAAATGAGTCCCTTGTGTTCCAGAATTGTTCAGTCTTGCAACTGGTGTTTTAGTTAAAAAAATCTTTATTTTTTTGTACAAGGAAGTATCCTTCCATCACTCCCGCAGTTTGCCTGCTCTATTTCTTATGCAAGCACTATGCTTTTGCATGTTAACTGTCTTGGAGGAAAGTGTCAGTGTAAAGCTGGCAAAATATATGCCTTGCCATTGAGTTTAAAGGTGAAGGAGTCATCATATGTTCTTATTTTCTCATTTTTAATTCTACTATATACTAAATATGGACTATTGACATATTAGAGTGAATCTGTCTCAGGTCTCCATCCAAACAAGATGTTGTTAGAAGAGATACTGTTGCTGTTTGAAGCTAATTAGATACAGCAATTTTGTAATGTGAGATGCATTCTTACCTTAATGTACCAAGCTTAATTACAAGAATACATACAACTCTAATTACTTGCATACATGCACAAAAACATGCATGCAAATTGACTCTGTTTTCTTAATAGTTAACTAAGCTACTGTATGCTCCATTCCCATAGCCTCCTAAGGGCTTGGTTAGTTATAACTCACTATTTTCAGTATTATAATGAATTTAAACATTAGCAAAAATCTATTAACTGCCATTATGCTTTTCATGTACTTTTCCCCCTTCCTAGCCTTGGACCAACTTTAGCTTTTAAAGGACCCCATGCAAAAGTGATCCCACTTGGTTCAACTTAGTACCAATAAGAAACCCATACTTTGAGTATGTTTCATAGTGCAAGGGACATTCTTTTCTTTGACAATGCTTTGGTAACTCTCAGCTCCAGTCTTCCTAATTTTATGCACATATACAGTCAAATAAGGGTTTTAGAAATGCTTATCTTCCAGTTTGTGATTCAGTATATTTGTATACATGACCAATTTTTGCCTGCAGTGTCAACAGGTAAATAAATGTGATCTGCTTCTATAAGGTACAATATTTATGACAATTTAACATTTGTGGCAGATGGGAAAAGAAAAAAGAGGCAGCATGATTTGGTATTGATGTTGTAAAACACAGGTGTGTCTCATGCTGAACCAGATCTGGGGTCCAGTGGACTTGTTCATACTGCTACACAAACTGGTCCCAGGGTGGTTGGGATTGAGAACAGCTCGCCTGCAGTCTGCCTGCCTGAGTTTGCATGCAACCCCAGATCAGGATGTTAATGAACGATGCTACCCTGAGCTCGTCCCGGGTGCCTGCTCTAAGGTAAATTGGAGGCTGAAGGTTCAGTAATGGTCACTGAGGATGAGCCCAGAGCTGTCTCCCTGGCAAACTTCTGGGCCAGAGCATGTCTGCAAACTCAGGTGGTCATGTTCACCCCTGTTCACCTGAGGACCAGGCATTATAGATAAGCTATTAATTATACACCACATTACCAAAAGTATAGGAGCAATAGGATGAAATTTTAAAAAAGAATACTTGATCTGAACATCATGAAAAACCTTCTGATGTTGAGAGTCTTCCTGACCAAGCAATGAAAGCTCAATCTCTTGAGACAGTTAAAACCAGATTGGAGAAATATTACAACATAATATTACTGTAAGAACAATCTGGCATTGTCAGGAGGTTGTCCCAGGTGATCTATTAGGTCTTTTCCATTAGTTACTTTTTGGTTCCTGTTAATCTCTGGGGTAAATTGGTGCTATTTCACAGGCAGTCTTTATTGGCAGCTTCAGCACAGGCTGTATTGAGTAGAGATTAAATCTTTTCAAACACTTTTCTTTTAACGTAAGAACTACCATAAAGAGACTTTCCTCAAAAGTGAGGAAATTGAAATCCTTGCACTCAGCATGGGAGAGTACTTGGCATAAAAGAACAGTCATAACAGAAGAGTCTTGGTAGATATGTGCACTCTTAAAAAGAAGAGAGGGAGCAGGAAGGCAACATAAAAATCAGTATACTTCAATGAAAGCACTGAGGAGCTTATTTAAACCAGCCAGGTATCCTTGCAGAATGGATGCTCAATCTTAAGAAAAGCAAAAGACTGGAAATTAAAGTATATCAAACAGGAAAAATATCTGTTGAACAGCCAGCGGCTAAGAGAAAGTTTGAAGAGAAAGTATTGAGGGACATACAAATAAACAAAAATCCCTTCAAATATGCGAAGAAAGGGTTTAGTGGATCACATTTTGAGAAAGTGAGCAGGAAAGTGAAGTAAAGGCAGTTGTCTGGAAATTCATTTTTAATTCAAATATTCACTGTCGGGTTTTTTTTCTCTCTCACCTTTACATACACATACACCAGCCGGTTAATGGAAGAGCACTCTGACATGTCTCATGAACTCCTATTCTGTCAATAGAAGACTTCCACTTTCTTGCTGTAACCTGACACTTTCATTAACACCAAATTAAAATATATAATCTCCACTTTTTGTATGCCAAAATATCATTTTGAATGTTAAGAAATGCACTGTAGCTAAGTTTTGAATTCCTACTTTAGTCATGTCCTTTTCAGACTTGTTTTGATGCCTTGGTTGGCTGTTATAATTACTGCAAACACGTTCTCTAAGCAAAACCCTTGGTGAGCAGCATGCTTCCACACCCTTAGGCCTACTACTGTGCTCTTCCCGTTATTTCTTATGCCAGATATTCCTCTGTACTTGTCTGATGTGGGTGCCCCTACGTCGTAGTTTGTAACAAGCCTTTCAGCTATGCTAGACGGACCCTTTAAAATGTGTTCCTTGACGTCAGCTCAGCGCTGGGGAATATTTGTTATTTTCATGTGACTAATAACAGGAGGTTTCCTGATATAGCTTCTCAAAGGAGTGGGCAAGAGAAGCACAGCATGATTCTCTAAGGGACATCATCTTTGATAGTTGAAAGGAGCCTTTTCATCTAGAAATTGGGCTTGAAGGAATCATATGCCATTTTAAGCCCTGTGATATGAAGGAGATCTATAACATCCCTGTGTAGGTGTTGATCTGGTAGTCTACTTTTCTAAGAGTTTAACTTGAACAAAATGCAAGGGAAATCCTACAGATTTCCTAGAGGTGAATTAAGTTCTCTCTGCAAGAACAGTTCAGCTCAGCCATTTTTAAGTGTTTCTAGGTCTTCGAAGTGAAAAGCATTAGAAAAATGAGACTTAACACAGGAATATGCCTGGGCGAAAATAAGCAACTGTAGTCCATCAGTAACCTCACATATGTTTAGGTCTTTATACTAAAACTAGGTCTTCACCATTGCCAGTTTATATATGAGTGTACGCACGTCTTATTTCTGTGTATATAATTCAAAGAAAACTCTTGCATGGTTAAAGGTTTTAGTGAGACTGTGAGGCTTAAAATTTTGATTAATAGATTCATAGATGTTAGGGGCTGGAAGGCACCTTGCAGATCATCGGGTCCAGCCCCCCCGCTGTAGGCAGGAAGACAACTGGGGTTAGGTGGCCCCAGCAAGGTGACTGTCCAGTCTCCTCTTGAAGATTTCCAGGGTAGGTGATCGCACCACCTCTGGAGGGAGTTGATTCCAGTCTGGACACCCTGACTGTGAAGGAGTTTTTCAAG